GGCGCGGCAGGAAGCGGCGCGCTGGGCACGCCAGTTCAAAAGAGCACCGGGGAGCCGGGAGAGGGGGAGGAAGCGGGGGCCATATTAAACCGGAACACGGGCCGCAATTGGCCCGCGGGCCGGACTTTGGACATGCCTGTGTTATGGGAACAAGTAAATAACTTAAGGCTTGATGGGTGTGAAAAGAGTTTGGTCTCAAAGCCTCGTTAAAAAGCTCTCAGCCTTGCTTAGCAGGCTGCTGGTCTCAGCACACTAGAGAGAATCAGATGAGTCAGCTCTGATCTGATTTCTCAGCACTGACTAGCACTGTATTTGTGCAAGGCACTGCTCCCGTTGGCTTCTGTTGCAACTGTGAGTGCTCCGTGGTTCTGCACATCAAACTCCAGAGTCTCAAGTAGGGCTCCCAAAAAATGAGGTGCACACATGTAGTGACTCCCCATGAAACGTTTGGGTTAAGTGACTTGACCAACATCACATAATGAATCAGTGGCAGAGGCAGGGATAGAATCCAGTTCCTCAGTCCAGCATTCAACTGCCTTCACCATGTGACCGTCCTTTCTCTGACTTTGATCCCCTGTCTGATTCATGACCTGCTTCCCTAGGTCCACGGTACGTGAAATAGGTCACTCTCCACCCCGATTTATCCCCGCAACAGGCCCATTGTGTGCACGGAATGAGGCAGAGGTTCTATGCAGGGGCTGTGCCAGCCTCTTCTCGGTGGGGAGGCTGAGGCGGGCCCCTCTCAGTCCCCTTCTCCTTGAGGCCCTGCCCCCTCTCTGTGGCCCCATCCTCTGCTTCTCCTCTCTCCCCGGAGGCCACATGCTCTCTGGCCTCATTGGAAACTGAAACCAGGCAGTGCTCACAGCCGCCATGGGTCAGAGTCAAGCGGGCAGTGGGGGACCTGACTCTGGGGCCAGTAGAACCTTCAGGGAGCTGCCCTGGCCGGCATGTCCCTGTGGGCAGAGACACAGGATGGGAACTGCTCTCGGGCACCCATGTTCCCACCCTGGCAGCTGCTCTCTCCGCTCTGCCTTCAGAACTGGGTGGCTGGAGGGTGGCAGCTGCTCTCAGAGAGCTAAAGCAGATTGTGGAGAAGCTAGAGCCCCTGTCCTGCACCATCCCTGGTTCTGTGGAAAATTGTATGTGATCTTGTGATTAAAGACTGTATCAAAATGCATAAGCAGAAAGGAGCCTAGTTAAGGTTACACAGGCAACCTTAATTCTGGCTTCTCCCGACCTTTAGCTGCTTGACTTTGCAATTTTAATAATGTTCTTTAAGTGTAGCTTTGGATGCATAACGTGTACAGGTATATAGACTTTTACATTCTTCTTGACGATCTTTTCAATATAATTGACTATTCGCATGTATGTGCACCATGGCACTCCACGGATAGCGTCACAGCTGTGTCATTTAGTTGTGTCATAGCATCTGTACTGCTAACGGAGAGTCTTGATCAGCATTTAGCTCATGCGGTAGCAGGGGGCCTGTGCTATTGGATTATGAGAATCAGATCTCTGGCCTCGATTCATTGAGTTCATCATGGCAGTGGTATGAAGCATTAAAAATGGCCATTGGTTTGTTTATGGTTTAAGGCTTTGAACCTAAGGATGTGACTGGTTACCCAGTGAACTGACAAGTCTCATTAATTGGTGGGAGCTGGAGTCCACCACAGGCAGGGGCTGGTGCGTGTGTGGGGGGGGGGGCAGCATGGTGGGGGGACTTCTCCAGCCCAGTGGACCGTCCAGTAGCCCTCCCTTTAATCGGTGTATTGGTTAAACATCACATTTAACCAGTTAAACCAATTAAAAGGGATTTTACATCCCTCCCTGATCCAGCCACAAATTGGTATGGCCCTCTCACACCCCCCACCAGAGTCCCACTGTCGATGGGGAGTTCATGACAAGGTCGTGGTCTAAACATATCCTTTGTGCTGCACTTATGTGTGCAACTAATGGGAACGAAGTATAACGAGCGGGGCTACCGTGGCGCCGAGTGAAACGCTTCATCGTTTCAGTGCCTTGCAATGTGCCAGGCGCAATTCCATGTGCTGCACTCGCTTACAGCTGTTTGTTTTTTCCTCGCAGGTTATAAATGATTAGCCCCTATGACCAACATGAGCTGGAGTTTTCTCACCCGCCTGCTAGAAGAAATTCACAATCACTCCACTTTTGTGGGGAAGGTCTGGCTCACCGTGCTGATCGTCTTCCGCATCGTCCTGACGGCCGTCGGAGGGGAGTCCATCTACTCCGATGAACAGAGCAAGTTCACGTGCAACACCAAGCAGCCGGGCTGCGACAATGTCTGCTACGACGCCTTTGCACCGCTGTCGCACGTCCGCTTCTGGGTCTTCCAGATCATCACGATCTCCACCCCTTCCGTCATGTACCTGGGCTACGCCATCCATCGAATCGCCAGGGCTTCCGAGGAGGAGAGGAGGTTTAAGGGGCTCAAGAAGAAGAAGCGGTTTGCTTTGCACTGGCAAGCCGTCCGTCACTTGGAAGACCCTTTGGAAGCTGACGAAGAGGATCCCATGATCGCCGAGAACACGGGGGAAAAGGAGGAGAAAGCCAAAGCAAAGAACGGGAAGGAGCAGCAGAAGCATGACGGCAGGAGACGCATCCAGGAAGAAGGACTGATGAAGATTTACGTCTTCCAACTCCTGGCCCGAGCTTCCTTTGAAATTTGTTTCTTGGTGGGGCAGTACTTTCTTTATGGCTTTGAGGTGGAGGCGTATTTCGTCTGCAACCGACTCCCTTGCCCTCACACTGTGGACTGCTTTGTGTCCAGGCCCACCGAAAAGACCATCTTCCTCCTGGTGATGTATGTTGTGAGCTGCCTGTGTCTACTCCTCAACTTGTGCGAGATGTTTCACTTGGGGTTTGGGACCATTCGAGATGCCATTCGCAGCAGAAAGATCAATAGTTTCCGGCAGCCTCCCTACAACTATTCCTACGCCAAGAATATCGCCTGCCCTCCGGAGTATAACCTGGTCATGAAATCAGAGAAGCCAGCCAAGATCCCCAATAGCCTCCTGGCCCATGAGCAGAACTTGGCAAACGTGGCTCAAGAACAACAGTGCACAAGCCCAGATGAGAACCTCCCGCCGGATCTGTCCAGCCTCCATAAACATTTGAGGGTGGCCCAGGAGCAGTTGGACACAGCTTTCCAGAGCTACAACACCGCTCAGGCCAACACGCAGCCTTCCAAAACTAGCAGCCCAGCGTCTGGGGGGACGGTGATGGAACAAAACCGGACCAATACTGCCCAGGAGAAACAAGGTGCCAAGCCCAAAGCCAGTTCAGAAAAAGGGAGCTCTAGCAGCAAAGATGGAAAGACTTCGGTATGGATCTAGTGAGGGGCTTGACCATTGCTCACAGACACAGCAATGGAAGAAGGGGTGTGCGGCTTCCCATCCCCCCCCAGCATTGTCTAGAATTGAATTCAAAGAGCACGGCAATGGAAGAAGGGGTGTGCTGGTTCCCAACCCCCCCAGCATTGTCTAGAATTGAATTCACAGAGCACGCAATGTGTGTGTGGAGGTCAATGTAAATGAAGGATGGGTTATTTCAATGTTTTCTGGCATGTTCCGGCCTCGTCCTGACGTCTTCTCTCTGGGAACCTCCATCCAGCTAAACTGAATGGTCCCCGATGCCTTCTGCTTAGGCACGGGAGTAACCGTCTTTCTCCTGAGGTGACCCATCCCGGGATCTCTATCACACAGCCTGGACTGGCAAGCAAGCTGGTGAGTGGGAAGGGGACTCCTGATCCTTCAGAAGAGAAGTCTGGGCCATGCTGAGCAGCCCACGCCCTGCCTCATGAGGCTCTAGTACTGTCCTTGCATTGAATGGTGTTTAATTACTAAATGTCCTCTCTCAAATTAACGTTAATTCCTCCGTTAAAGGGGAACACAGGGACATGTTGCGAGAGCTGCCACGATCTACTAGCATCGTTGCTGTCCTGCCTGGAGACTTACGTGCACTAACAAGAGGGGATGGATGTCGTTGGGAGATTGCAGCCGTAGGATCTCACCCGGCATGAATCTAGCACAAAGACTGTCACCAGAACCGTAGCCGTATTCGAAAGAATGTACGCGCCCCAGAGTGATTAGCGCAGAGGTAAAGGGGGTATCTTCCCCCCTCAGTGCTGAACTGAGTGCTGAACATCCCGTTTGCAGTAGAGCATTGTAACAAAGCCACAGGGCAGTGTTTGTCACAGAGCTGGGGGATTGCACCCGCTCAGCGTTTTTTAACATTGCTACTGCACAGCTGAAGCAAAAGTGCCTTTAAGCAACCAGGGAAACGAAATTCTAAGTGTCTGATGTCTGTGTTAACTCTTATAGAGATCGGAAAACCAGTGCTGACAAATTTTGTTATCGTGTACAGGTTGGACCTCTCTAGTCCGGCACCCTCGGGACCTGACCGGTGCTGAACCAGAAAATTTGCCAAACTAGGAGAGATCAATATTGTCTAGCAGCATTACCAACACTTCCACTGTTTATTGGGCTCTTAGAAGACATTTAGAGCTACATTAGACCATAAGAATGGCCACACTGGGACAGACCAAAGGCCCATCTAGCCCAATATCCTGTCTTCCAACAATGGTCAATGCTAGGTGTCCCCAGAGAGAATGAACAGAATCATCAAGCGATCCCATCCCTGTCACCCATTCCCAGCCTTTGACAAACAGAGGCTAGGGACACTATTCCTACCCATCCTGGACAATAGCCATTGATGGACCTAACCTCCATGAATGTATCTAGCTCTTTTTTGAACCCTGTTAAAGTCCTGGACTTCACAATATCCTCTGGCAAGGAGTTCCACAGGGTAACGTAGAGCTAAATAACATCACAGAACACTAAGAGCTGAGACTGGTGGCTATAAGCTGTATGGGACCACAGGAAACTTGGTCACAACCATGATAGGGGGACATCTGGCTAACTAAAATCATGCCGGACCACAGATGTTGCTGGCCCAAAGAGTGCCGGACTAGAGCGGCTCAACCTGTCACAACAAATAGATCACTGAACCGTGTGTATGTGTGGAGACGGATATGAATATTACATGTGAGATACAGATATACATATATAATGTATTATCAACCCCATTTCCCACTTCCACCCAAAACCAGATCAGTTCACACAATGGTGGCTGGTCGTCTTCTCCTAGAGGTCAAAAGAACCAGATCCCCCGCTGTTGTCAGTGGGTTCAGCTTCATTTATTTCAGTGACCCAAGCTGAGAATCTGTCCGCTTGACTATAATGGGGACGGGAGAGAGTCCATTCACAAGAAGCGCTCGCCTGCAGTTTAAGCACCAAAACCTCCTTGCCTTGCTCACATGAGTAGTTCCAGTGGACTTGTCTAGACCAGGATATTTTAGCTAAAGTTTATCACTGGAGGTAGCTACAGTCCAACCCTAGTGCAGACCAAGCCTAATGACACGGTGCTTACCCAGCAAACAGCTTGTCCGCTCTAGTTCTGCGGGAGAAATGGAAGCAATGGTGGCAGAAGTGGGGAAATTTTAAACAAATCTGCCCAGGTTAAACACCGCCATTGAGTTCCATGAGGCGACTCAGGCAGTAAGGCAAGGGACCCAAAGCACAGCGCAGCTCTGACTAGGGGGGCGGTTCTCTTTTTCAAATGCTCTGCGTTAGAAATACTTTGACAATGCTTTTTTTTCCCCATCATGTATCCGACTTGTACAAAAGTGGCTGTGGCTTTGTTGTGAATTAACGCCGTGAACAGGGAGCAGAAACGTAACTCTGCCCACTGGGAGCATGGCCGGGGGATTTATCAGGCTGGGACAAAGCAGAGTGAAAAAGTAAATAATTAACTGCCCCATTTTCTGCTCCGTTGCCTTTCATGGAGGGCCTGATCCTGCCAGGTGCCTATGCATCTTCAGTTCCTACTGGGGCTTTGTAGGATGCATTCAAAAGCTCCCAGGATCAGACCGCTCAGACTGTGATAAACAGCTAGAGACTCTGACTGAGCAGAGCGTTTCAGCACGTGCTTAACTTTGAGCAAGTAGCCCGACGGGCCAACTCACATGCTTAAGTGCTGTGTTCAATCAGAATCCTATAACACCCTTCCTAAAGCTATATCACATCATCCATGCTAGAGACAGAACAAATCATCATTTTATAAGGAATACAATGAACAAAAACTAGCAGAGGAGTGTTAGTCTGTAACTTTAAAAACTACGGATCGTTTTATAAGGAATACAATGAACAAAAAGTCGCAAAGGAGTGTTAGTCTGTAACTTTAAAAACTACGCGTGGTCCAGTGGCACCTGAGAGACTTACAAATATATTAGATCATGAGATTTCGTGGGTAAAACTCAATGAGTTATATGCCATCAAGTGCCAGCAGTGCCACTCTGTCACATACATTGGCTAAACCAGACAGTGTCTGCGACGAAGGATAAATGGGCACAAATCAGACATCAGGAATGGGAACACAGAAACCTGCAGGGGAACGTTTTAATCTGCCCGGACGTTCATTCATGGATTTAAAAGTAGCCATCCTCCTACAAAGGAATTTTATCATCCAGCTACAGCGAGTAGTTGGGTGATAAACTGGAATTCATTTCCAAGTGTGACACTATTAACTCTGTCTTGCATAAATATATTAGCTGGTTAATGAACTACAAAGGCAGTTTCCCCAATCTTTGATATTCACATTTACACATCAAACGCTATGAATGGCACACCTCTAGCCTGGCTTAATAAGCTTCATTAACACTGGTCCTAGAATGGCACACCTCCAGCCTGGCTTAATAAGCTTCATTAACACTGGTCCTACAATGGACAGGTAACTGTTTTTGCTGTTATATATACTCTGGATTCTGTCATTTTTTACTCCAACTCATCTGATGAAGTGGGTTTTACCCAGGAAAGCTCATGACCTAATATATTTGTTAGCCTCTAAGATGCCACAGTAATTGTTATTAATGGATAGTGAGGGGGTGGAATCTCCATCCCTAGAGGTTTTGAAGTCCTGGCTTGGCAAAGCCCTGGCTGGGATGATTGAGCTGGGGTGGGTCCTGCCTTGGGCAGGGGATTGGACGCGATGATGCCTGAGGTCTCTGCCAGCCCTCTGATTCTGTGTTTCTATAACCTGATGGAAGCTCTGAGTAGGAAGAGGGTTGGCTGCTGCAGGGTTTTTCCCTTCACGATGACTCACACTGCAGCAGGCCCATTGCAACGTGTCCTCCTGGAGCAATGCAATGACTGCTGCATGGGGAGTCGGGATGGTAGGCTTATCCTGGTTCTAACAGCAACAGCAGCTGCTGGCCCTCGGCACTTCCTGAGTAATTCCCACTGGATGTAATTGACCCCAGATGTCCATCAGACTCATGAGCTCGTCGTTAACCTTCGGAGCATGTGGAGTGCCTCGAGCGTGGGGTGTAATTCAGTCCTGCTTCGATTGGCACTGCTGTCCCAAAAATAGCCAGCGAGAGACACGGAGACAGCCCCCTGGCTTACTTTGCTGGTAAGGCTCTCTGGTTGGTTCTTGTGTCCCCTGCTTTCTGTGGGGTCTGTAACTATAACGATCTCTTCTCACCCATGCCTAATGCTTCACAAGGAACTAATTTGCTATCTTTACTCCTGGGGGGGATAACTATCGTGAGCCCCTCTTCATCCAGCATGGTTAAGACTCTTACCCAAGGCACTCCGGGGGCCAGTGTCAGAGACAAAATGAGACTTCAGCTGTTCCAAGTGTCCAGCCCCATGTTCAACTGAGTGGCTCCGGTATGAGGCAGTCCATGGTAGACACATTTTCTCTTACCAGATGATTGTGTTGAGGGGGTTGGTTTGATTTTCTGGCTTTGCTTGCGGGGGTGAAAAGCAGATCACTGGAGACCCCTGAATGAGGATCAACCATGGGGACTTGTTATAAAGGGACTGAGCTACGGAGGGGATTTCAGGAGTCTCTTTGAATTTCCTGCCCCTTCTTGGTGGCTTGTGCCAAGAACTTGATGTGACCCCAGGGATGTGTATTCCTGCGGCAGGGATACCAACGGATCAGCCAAACAGAGCAGTGAAGCTGGACACTCAGTCCCGGCTAACGGTCTCATTGTGTGAGTCATATCCCCCTGTTCCACGACGTGAGCTTGCAGGGTCAGATGACGGTGGCGAGCGTATCAAGGTTGTACACAGGGTGGTACGTGTCCACGTTCTGCCCGCAGTAAACCGCTACCCTGCCCAAGTGAGCCTGTAAAACCCTGTGACTCTGATGCATTTGGGAGTGGGAGAGATGGCGTGACGTCAGGCCCACCGCTGGGTCTGGGGTTACGGTTTTCCTGCCCTGTGGAGATGTTTCTGTTGCATGTCTCTGCGAAGCTCCCTTATTTAGCTTCCGCCCCCCGGAAATAGAAGGCGTATCACATAATGACCCTGACGGAAGCTCTGAGCAGAAGGAGACAGACGATGGGGCGGAGTTTCCCATGCTCCCTTAGGCAGCTGCACTGCAGCACTAAACAGTGTGCCTGTGTGGGCAGGCAGTGGCATTGGGGTAGGAGTAGACTCTGGAATCCTGGCCCCATTCAAGTCAATAGTGACTTCAATGGGGCAGCATTTTGCGCACAAAAGTGAGAGTGGGGAACGAGCTGTGAAGTCCCATCTGGTCCAGCCGGTGCTAGCTCATTCCCTGCAGCGCATTGGCCAGGGCTCTGTCCAATTGAGTGTTCACTTGTAAAAGACCCATGCATGGGGCTCCCCCTGCTTCCCTTGAGAGAACATTTCCCTGTCTTAGCGAATTCAGTTTGAAGACCCTGTCCTGCTAGTCAGCCCCTGGAGCAGCTGTGACCTAGTGCTCTGTGATAAAAGCAAATCAAGAGACGTGTGTGCCATTCCCCACTCTGCCACTGATCAACTCTATGACCTTGGTTGAGTCACTTATCCTGTATTTCCTTATCCATAACATAGGGCTGATCAGTGCTTCCCCATCTTCCTCAAGCACTTGCAGATGAGAGGACACGCTCTGTGCTGCAGTTCTGAAGAGCTTCTCAAACCTCCAGCCGTCTTGCCGGGGCTGCCTTTGCAGTAATCTGCAGCCCAGAATCTTTGTAGCCCACCGTGCTAAGGAGGATGCCCTTCTACCTCCCAGCTAGCTCTGCACGAGCCCTGCTCTGGGAGCTGAGAGGAGAGGAGCTGAGGGACATGTATAGTGGCTCTTCCACTAGGGGAATTATTCCACAGTCCCTTTGAGATTCAATTACAGCCCTTTCTTTGCCATAGGAGCCAAAGTAAGGGACAAAGTTAACCCTGAGAAATGCACATTAGTATTATTATTGTGTGACGATGCTGACTTGTAAATGAGTCCGTTCAGATCTGGGGAAAAAAAACCCTTTTTTTATGGAAAGGAGAAAGATTACAAGGGACAATAAACAAACCCTTCCTATCCAATGTGGCCAAAGGTAGGATCCCAAATTAGGCAAAAATCCATCCTATGCTAACCATCTGATTGCTCATACAATTGCAATTAATTC